CTCAAATGATTGAAAAACATCATTAAACTGATGAACTTCTTCTCTTTTCGGACACACTCGGCCATTCTCCGAATTCCATTTATAGTCTGATTATGAGATCTTGTACAATACATCAAAGTGGAGCAACACTTATAAAGAAATACCACATATATTACATGAATATTTTTTTCTGATTTGTATTGAGATATGTTTATCATAAAATCGTGTAAAAAATATGTATATATTTTACAAAATAAGAAATTTTTTTGACTAAGTTTTGGTTATATTATTTTGTACAGAAATGCAAGAAAGCATAGATACAGGAACCTTAAAAAAAAAAAAAAAAAAATACTTCCAGCAATAATACAAAGGGTAATAATAGTTCAGTTATAGTTTAAATGATTTATCAGAAAACAATGGGAATATTAAAATAAGGACAATCAGTAAACAACTATATCTCTGGCAATTAAATTATACAATAGAAATGAAAAAAGAAATTGGTATAAATAAAAAAAATGCCTGGGTCAAAAGCACTCAGCAGAAAGAAAAAAAAAGCTGATTGAATTTGCTATTATTATTCTGGTTTTATATCAATACAAAACTTTAAGAGTTACAAATGGAAAAAGTATCATCCATCATATCAGAGTAAGGACCATATTGGTAATGATATCAATACAACAATATCTTTTATAACTAAAACGAGAAACATTTTCTCTAAACATCTTGAGTAAACAAATAAAATAAACCGTGATGTCATAATTTTTAAATTATCTCATCTTATTTACTTACCGTACTATTTATTTTTCCGATGTAGAAATCAACAATAATTCTGCACGGCTGCTCAACAGCGTTGAAATGCTAAATAACACAGAATACTTATCCATCAACAGATAATATAAAAAAAATTAAGCCAGAATTAGGTCGGAACATTGGAATACATATCAAATATGACAAGAACAGTTTATAGAATCAAACAAGTGAAAGCCAAGATCAATATATGTGATGATGGAGGATCCCTAATGAGTCTTAAATAATAGTTTCTCTCATGATCTGCATTTGCTCCCTTTCAACACCGATCATCGGCAAGAAATTACTTCTATTGAAGGGGATTACAGTTAAGTATACACAATATACTAGTATAATATAGTATATAGTATTAATATAGTTAATAATACTATTACAGTCAGTATGCATTTCATATAAATTTGCTCTTTCTCTGTCTGTATCTTGACGTTCTGATCCTGATCGTTGGTTTCAAATCTGATCATGGAATCCACTATTAGTGACTCTTCTGTGGCATTGAAGGCTAAAATGACAATGAACCTTGTTAAGCCTTCTGTATCCAGGCAATAAACTTCGAGGTAACATTTATAGTTTTTCATTTCAAGGAATGCTTTAAATTATTGTGCCGGTGGGTGACAAGTAGCATGTTATACGGACAATTGCCCAGCACATGAGCTGGGGTTTTTGAATCTAGGCCACATTTGTGTTTAGTATTACTTAATATTAGATTTAATTTCTTCAATATTTAATTGTTTATCACTATGTTTATTTCATTACTGTTATTTTGTTACCAAAATTACTAACCTACGAAATGTAGTACTCAAGTGTTTTTATTTTCTCAAAAATATGATATAAACTAAGAACGTCAAATTTATATAATAAGCTTCTTGATTTCTCCTTTGATTAATGAAGTCCTTTACACATGCAGTAAATATTAAACAAAAATAAATCTTAGTTTGCACTAATTCCATTAATTCACTCCGAGACCCTCATGTACTGTCTTAAACAAATTTTTTTATTTCTATTAGATTTTATTATTAAAAAATATGTGAACGATTAAAAATAATTTAACTTTTTTATTAATTTACAAAAACAGACAAAACATAAAAGTTACAATGTAATCTTTGAAGACTTTGTTACATCCTTAATACAATTTTCAAATTATTAACATATTTGCAAATATTATAATTTTCCATTATAATATACTACAAATAATATAGCAATCTATTATTTTCTTCTTTATGTTACTTAGTGACCATGAATAAAAAATGTTTGCTAATACGGCTAATCATTAACGAATAACACGCAATATTTATTTATATAATTCATATTTGCTGTAAGAATAAATAAAGTAAAAGAAAAAACAAATAAACAATCAAAGAATCAGAAAAAAAAGTTTTATGATTTTATTAATTGTATAGGTACACAATTATTACTAAGTATCTATATATGCATGAAATAAAAAGATTCTTTATAGAGCTCTTAATTGATTTTGTTTGACCATAAGTACATTTTCTATTTTGTTTTAGAAAAGTAGATTAACTAATTTTTTGGGGAAAATCTCAACACTCATGAAGTGTATGTTCAAAAATTATACTTGGTCATCTTAACAACAATTTTTATATTGAGAATTTAGAAAATTATGAGATAGAACAAACAAGATAGAAAACAGATCCAGTCGATATATAACATTTTTTCTCGTCTGTTTTGCCAAGTAAACAGAGCAGTATTTTTGTTTAGTTTTCTGACCAGAACCTTCAACAAAACTTTTGCGTTTCGGAAACAAGCTTTTGTTTTATTGCTTTCTAAGGACTGAAAGTTTAGCAAAAAATAGTATACTTTGGAATTATTTAGAATCAACACTTTCCATGTTTTGGAAAGATGAAAATGTTTACAGATGAAATGTATGAGCTGATAAAAGAATTGATCATAGAATATAATAAATATAATTTACTAACTCAAAATCACTAGAAATAATAAACATAAAAAACAATAAAAAAATAAACTAGCTTTGTAAAAGCAGCTGCATATGATTCCTACAAAATGCTCACTAAAGCCAATACATAGATCAAATGAAGAGGGAAATTAAAATGAAGCGTTAAACTTTTAAAAAGATAATCAGATTTTCACAAAATGATTAAAATATAGAAAGCAATCCTAGATAAAATATTAAACAATGAAATGGATATAATCGACACCACTAACAGTTTTTATAAAAGGTGAAATAAAATATAATAAATGAGAGGGAGTTGATCGGGGGGAGGGGGAGGGGGGTGCGGTCAAATTAATAATGAATTAAACAATTATAATTATTTAATTTTTGCCGACATTTCCACCCACTTTGCAAGTCTTCACCAGGGCTACAAAAGATACAAAACCGTAGGATGAAGTACTGCAGGAAGCAGTTGAAACATCAGTGCTACATCCTACGGTTTTGTATCTTTTGCAGCCCTGATGAAGACCTGCAAAATGGGTCGAAACGTCGGCAAAAATTAAATAATTCAATTGTTTAATTCATTCTAAATTTGAATCAAATTTAGAACCCAATCAACTCCTTCTCATATTATATCAACGGTCAACCATCTCTGCATCATTAAAATATAATAAAAATTTACCGTTTTACAACTTTCTGATTCCGGATAGAATGGGACATTTAAATGCAAGATTTTTATTTATGAATGATATAAAAACTAACACTGATTAATAGCCAGGGGCGGATCCAGGTTTTTTTTTTTTTTTTTTTCTTTTTTTTTTTTAAGGTAGCAGGAGGAAACATTAAGTTGACCACGGAATTTCAAATAAATTATTTGAATCAACTATTTCTTCTCCAACTATTTAAAACTGATTGCCGTAGGCATAGACAAGGTTTCTATCTATTTTTCACAAGGATAGCCAGTTTTTAAATTTTCCTCTACACAATGAATTGTAAATATTTCAGAATTTCACGAGTACTGGAACTAGTAGGAACGTTTTAAACAGCCGTAGATTTTTTCTCAATGGTTAATTTTGGAGGGAAAATCGTTCCTACTCCCCTTTCAGTGGCTCCTCCAATGTCTTTTTCAATGTTAATGGCTTCATGTCTTCAAATGGGATCAGGGCCATTGGGAATTGGTCCATTTTGTGAACACAGCACGTAGGAGTAAACTGCAGTAATTAAAGTAACAACCCGACAATGCAAAAATCAAGCATCCTATTACTTATAAGAATAATCATATCGATTTTCACGACCTTTGTGATACAATTAAAACAAATCACTACTAATAAATAAATGAAATTGAAATCAGATGAAAGATATCTTTGGTTATTCCTAACTTAATTACTAGTTATTCCTTTAGTTTACTAAAAATTAATCTTGAATATTAACCCATTGAGAGATGAATTATGTTGTAATATCTTAACTAAAAAAAAAGTCTAAACCAATAAAAAAATATATTTACTCTAATTTCCAAAATAGTAGTTACTGGCTTATCAACTGGTCTTGCTCATCAAGTCAATCTTAATATTTATAATTGAACAGAGAGAATAACCCACATCAACTTAAGCTTTCATTTACTAACAAGGCACACAATATCAAATTGATTTAATTATTATTTTAGATTATTACATGAAAAGCAGAAGGTAGAATGTAGTAGAAGCATTAGGTATCAATTACATTATAAACAAACTCATTTTAACATCAGTCCAATTCAGTACTGTAGAACAAGTAGTACAGTTAAATCAGCGAATTTATTTGGGCATAGGAGTCCAAAGTAGTGATATTCAGTCTTGAAAACGTAGACAAATTAAAAAGATTCTCATATCACAGGCAAGTTAGTAGGATGATTTTAGAGTGAATATAATAACTTTTAAGTATAGGTAAGGTCACAAACAGTACTATCTTCACAAATTTTAGAAGAAATACTCTTTGTAGAGAAATAACAAAATGAATTCACTATTTTTTCAAAGTTCAATTCTTAACCAGACAAATACATGACAAGGCTTAGCTATACTGTATTGTTTATAAAAGATGTGGCCAATTTGAAATCAATTTACAAACTATTATCATCTAAGAAGACAGCAAAAATATCTGGAGTAAATGTGCTGAACTTATACAGGTGACATATGACACAGTTTTGAAAACAAAGATATCAGTTTTATCAAGTTTGAAAACCATTGATAGTAGGGGGGTCAATGTTTACTTAGATAACCCTCAACTGATTCAATGATTCTTAGTCAAACACATGTAAAGATATTAATACCTGTAATTGTTGTATTAATGGCAGGTCAATACACTGCTCTTCAGGTTCCACTCTGAAATAAACACTCAGATTGTCTTCTTCGACAACGGTTTCACATAACCGAACTTTAAATAAGTTTTTTATTTTAATGGCATTATCCCTGACTAGCTGGGTATGATCTTTTTTAACACGGATTAAAGGATCGTTCAACTCTTCCATGACTTGTGGAGGTGAACCTCCATCCTCTGGACTACATCGTGTTTACACTCTAAACATCTTATGTCACCGAGCCACCTGAAACTATTAGCAGCCATATTCTAGTAACCATTCCTTTAGCACTGCTGCCAATAGGTAAATGATCTGTCGAAGAAATTCAGGAAACTTATTTAATAATTTAATACTGCTTCAAAACAAAATATCATTACAAGCTTTTAATAATTCAGTTAGAAAGTTATTGCAACTGCGATGTTCACAACTTCCTCCCATTGACTTATACGAAACAAAAGCCCCCCTCCTTTCAATTTTAAATTAAAGTAAATATTAAATATATTTTTCAAACTGTTTACTTCATGATTATTAATCTTATTACATGAAAAAAAAAGGTATGAACTTTACTCTGAAAACGATAAGTACAGAATATAAGGCAGTAAAAACATTTTTGTAAGATATTATTATTAATTGAATAGATTAATATACTCCTGGAAACACAGGCAGATCTACGGGGGAGAGGAGGGAGAGGGGCTTTTGGGCTGAAAAAATAGTAAAATATAACTATTTTTTATGAAAAAATTATCTCTAAAAGTATTACTGTTCGTCTAATTACATTTTATAGGATTTAAAGAATCACTTAAACACCATTTCATAAAGGTACTTAGTTTCTTTCTTTCTTCCTTAGTAATTATCGTAATATAAACATAAAAAAAAATCTTTCGGGCTGAAGCTCCCTCCACTCCCCCTCCCCCAAAATTAAATCCTGGATCCTTTAGTGGCTGGAAATATGTACAATGAATACAAACAAATGATTATTTTACAGGACAAGTTCCTAAATTCAGCGTTGTGATAACTGATGAGCATCAGATATCAATCAGACCATTCCTAAACACATCGATCTAACCTTCAACAAGTTTCTACACTCAGCGCTGAGATCATTGATGAAAATGAGAAATCCATCAATGGATTGGCGCTGAGTTTAGGAACTAGCCCATAATAACTGAATTTAATGAATCATCCTCAACTGATTTGATAAAAAATGTCAAGAAAGCATATTTCCATTTAGAATTTCCAAAACTCAGCGCTGAGCTCATCGATAGCATCGGATCCTTGTCTAAACGAGGCGAAACGATGCCATCGATTTCTTCAAACTGAGTTTAGGAACTTTCCCATTGTTAAGCAGTTAAGACTGTTGAAAATAGTTTAAGAATCAGTGATCATTTTGTAACAAATAAAAAAAAACAATAAATTAACTAAACATGTTTTCATTATTTTCTCTAAATTAATCTATTCTATTTTTTTCTAATATTCATATGCAGGGCTAGAACAAATATTATTCACAACGGGCATCTTATTTACTATTATATAACATTATTAGTAGATATTAACACATATAAGATATTAACATATATAAGATATTAACATATATTAGTAGATAATATATTAATAATAGTAGATAAAACATACCTAGCCCTCTTGGAATGTTCGAATAATCAGTAATCACATAGTTGACGATCTTCATAAAACACTAGGTTCAACAAACAGGTAAAAACTATTTACAATTTAAAAATAGTCTACCGGACACTTAATTTATCGTTTACACAATTGGAGTGGAAAATGGATTTAGTGAAAAGGCGCGTGAACTGAGCGATAATTATCCTAATGTCGATACTCGAGATATTGATATATATATATTTTGAAGATTTATTTTATGTTTAGAAAGTCCGATTAATCTATAAATTATAAAATTAGTTTATATTATTTAATTCAAGGTGTTCGTTGTATATAAAATGGGGACATAGTGCAACAAATTATAATATATGCCCAGCCGTTAATTCAAGGAAGTCTCTATGATTAACAATTAAAAAAAAATAAACAAAAAACTGACAACAAATATAATTATAATAATATTGATTAAATTATTTTTTTACATTGCACAATTCAAATTTTTCAATCTGTGAATGCTTTCCCGGGTTGTTAAAAAAGCGGGAATGTTCTTGAGTTTTTTCTGATCCTTAAAGCTAGTGTTAAATTGTGTTAGTGTCGGTGAATTGTTAATCTAGTGAATTTTCATCTTTCATAGATAATAGATGCCTGCCTATTAGGTATGCCATAGTTCTTATGAATTAGACTATTTTTATATAGATTTTGTAATTGCAAGCAATTAATCTTCTTCTGATTCCCATCCCTAAGTACCCCACTGTATCTCTGATTCTTTTAGCATTACTGATTTGTAGTTTTGGGGGGAAGAGATTAACAATTTACATTGCTTACGCACTTCCTACTCCTGTTAATCATAATTCAAAATCTGGAAAGTATTTTTCGTTTTATCTACAACATTGCAAAATCAGTTTCACATTTATTGATTATGAGTTACCAAAATTTTCATGTAAAATAGATTAACATGTTTTGTATATAAATGAAAATTTAATGCTATTTACACTTGGGTGTATGCCTTAAGATCAGTTTAATAATAATCAAAATTAGTTTTTACTGGAGAGGAGTGACAGGAATATCCAGAATGGATAAAGTGAGAAATGCAACCATCAGAGAAAAGGTGGAGGCTAAAAGAACCATTCTGGAAGAGATTGAGAAAAACCGTCTGAAATGGTATGGACATTTGAAAAGAATGTTTCATATTTTGTTCATTCATGCTGATTAATTGTTATTGATTTTAATTTAATTTTGTTTCTTCAAAACTTTGTTGGGGAGGGGGAGAAGAAGGGGTGAAATGATCTTCTCGCTCTCTCCCTATTTCTATTTGGGGGAAGAAGCAGTTCTGTGTTAGGCGGGGAATGATTCTGTTTATCACCAACATATTTGTTATAACTCTTCTTTTGTTTTAATAATAACTTTGAAATTAAATTGGGCAATTAATGGTATAATTTATTTTGATACTTACAAATGAAATTTTTCATAATTTAATAAAAATATTTCTCTTTTCTTTTCAGTGGATTAGCTGTATTTATCATTGAATGGATATTGAAGGTAAGACCTATGAAGCTTATTATTTTTTACATCAAATGGACGTATCAATTTAGTGTTCTTGTTTATCTGGTATTAAATGTTTATTTTAATTATTTCCTTATAGTTTACTTGAAAAAAATCTGATCATATCTGCATTGTATGTTTTTATTGGAAAACACAAAACAGAACAACAATTAGTCAAATTCCAGTTCTTGAAAATATAATTAAAATAAAATAATAATCAAAATTTAGTTTTAAACAATCCATGTTGTGGAAAATTTATTTTCCATTTTTATTTTATTCATTTATTAAAATTTATAAACAAAATATGATAAGTAAATCTGTTCTGAAAATACAAAACATGATAGCTTGTGAAGAGATAACCCACTGGTAGTGCTTCAATGATTAATTTAATTTAGGAGATTCCTTGATGTCCTTTTTAGACACTTCTTAGGATTGTCAGTAATATTTTTGATTGAAAGCTTACGAATTAGTGGTTCTATGGGAGCAAGGAATCAAAGCAAGGAAAATCTATTCCGGCCCAAGTCTTCAACTAATGAAATATAGGAATAATTTTATTTGTGACATATAAGGAGTATTAATGATTATACAGAAGATTCTTAATTTTAGGAATAGAATATAGGAAGAATTTGTTGTTTTTATGGAGCTCCCAATGCTTAATTCCATAGATTTCATTAGTAATAATATATTTTGATTAAGATGATGGTTGTTTGAACATAAAAACAGTGGTACTTTATATGTTATTCCCTGATACTTACAAGTTTTGAATAACATGGTCAGTATTTTCAAAATTATTACCAAGAAGATATTAACTAATACTAATAATTGGTATGGCTTCAATTGCAATTTAACGAGTAGGGTATGGCCTGTAGGTGAAGTAAAACTCACCAACAAATAAAATTTATTTTTTATTGTGTCCACTTTGATCTAACTTGTAGATATTATCAGGGCTGGTTAAAAAAAAAAAAATTATAACCAATATAGATAATGCACAATCATGAACATGCAAAATCAAGTCAATATGAGAAGGGTTATAATAAATGAAAATATGTCTATCCAAATTATGAAGAATATTATATTTTTACTGACTGATAGATACTTCACCAACAATAGTCAGTACAATAAACAGATCTAACGGCCGAAATTCAGTCTGCCTTTTTTTTCTCATCCTCGGAATGAAGAAGCATTCTCTACACTTCCTGCCACTATTCTCCTCTCTTTAACATCTATGCCTCACCATTTCCATTTTTCCTCTTCCCTTATGTTCTTATCTTTATTTATGTTCGGTATTTAAGATGTGAAGTATCCCTTCAAAAGCAATCACCACATCTTAATTTTATTATTATTTTAATTATTATGTTTTACGGCCCATTGGATTAAAATCACTTCTATATCTGGGACTTTATATAAGAGCTTATTATTTTATTTACTTCTTATTATATTTATTTTTATTTTTGAATAGTTCGTATTACATTATTTCATACATTATAATAATTTTCACAACTGTATATTACTTATTTTTCACTGACTATTATCTTGTTTTTTTTGCCCAAATAGAGGCCTGCAAGATAGACCAAAATATTTGCATGCAATAAAAAATAATTGTGTATCTCATGATAAAATGAATAAAATGTTTTTTTTTTTTTAAATTCTCTTCAGTCACTATAAAATCTGTGATTGGGTGAGGCAAATCTTTTTTGTATCAATGCATTGAGAGTTTTAACTACAAATACAATATATTGTATTTATAGTTAAAACATTCAATGCCATCAATTTTTTCAAATGACTGCATTCACAAAGTTATTTATGAGAATCAGTAGTTGAGTAAAATGACTAAAGTAAGTAATGAATAAAGTAAAATGACAAAAGTTATTGGAAAACTAACTTACTTTATTTTTATTTTTATCTCTGTTACTACTTTTAACTTCATTACTAATTTTATATCTATGTGCTATTACTTTTATTATTTATTAAGTTGTAACTTCTGTTATTCCACTTCTTGATTGATTTTTAACCCCAATGATAGTTCTCATACTTTCATTGAAATGTTGTCTTGTATTATAAAAAATTAATAACTGACATCCAATTGTTTATTATTGATGAAATA